AAAAGTAATTGTTGCTACTTTTCTTTGGTTTTTATTTTTGTTAAATAGTATGTAAACTGATTTTGCTTTCTTGTTTTTTAAGTAGCATAGTAGTAATACTTCTGATGCATTGCCTGAGAGTCCTGTTAGTCTTGTTGTGAACAAGTTTTGATGATCACATCATATGTAATCTTCATCACCTTTGTTATTCTTGCCAACTTGTAAACACCAATTGGCAAAGACTATAGAATGTTCTTATCAGTAAGTTGATCTGCTTAAACTATTACTAATGCCTTATGTTTAGATCTTTTAATATATCTTATTTGTATCCTCTTGAAGCTTTTGCATATATGTCTGATTTCCTCTGCATTAATATTCGCAGATAGGTCCTATATTGTAAAACAGTTATATAAATTTATTTTATTTTTTGTCATAAACAAGTCCTCTTTCTTCTTATATTTTTCTTTTTTTGGTTGGCTTTTGTATTTTTCTTCTCTTTCTTGTTATTGTTTTTGACTTATTGTTCAAGTTTAATTCTTTGTTTCTTTCTTTTTTTGGGATGAGCTTGAGTCATTCATCTTCTTTTTTTCAAATTCTGTTCATCACTGCATCTCAACTATATTCACAATCAAAGTCTACTTCTATCAGTTGTTTCCATTTTTAAAAACTTTTTTAATTGTCTTAATATAGTAGTTTTTGTTCAGAATCCATTATACATATTTTATTCTTTTATTACTTGTTTTTTCAGACAAGATGTATGCAAGCATGTTTGCTTTGAAGGACATGTTCTTATTACATACTCTATTTTCTGATGACTATTGGCTGTGTTCAATTGTGTTAATAAAGATTGGATCTTTATATGTCATGTTTTTTTCTTTTAATTATATTATTTTTTTGTTAATGTTTTCTATATTTTTTCTGATATCTTGGATAATACTATCTCTTGGAGCTTCTGTCTTTCTTTATCTTTTTTCCTCTTGTTTTTTTTGTTTTATTTGATTTGTTTATAAGAGTTTGGTTTGTGCTTGATGATAAACTTCTTTGTTGTATATCTTGTAATATATTAATATTAAGCTCCTCTATTTGGCCAATGATTTCATTTATCATTTGGATTGGTTTTTCTTGTAGTATTTCTTCTCTTGCTACATCTTGACATTTTTTTTTGTTATTAACATTTGCATCTTTTCTATGCTGTTCAGTTTTTCTATTTCTTTTATTTTTCTCTCTTCTTTAAATATTTCTTCTTTACTCATGTTTGTAATATATTCAACTGACTTTGGGTTCTGATTCAACAGTTTAAGTCTTTGTGCCCATTTATCTATTATATCTTCTTTAAGCTAGCTTAATTCTGCTAAACTCAAGGCTTTAAGAATTTGTCTATAAAGTAGTATATCACTTAGTGTAATATAATTTGGGTTGTTTATTGCTAGGTCTTTTGCTATATGCTTTACATTGCTTAGTTCTTTTGCAAATATTGTTAGAATTTAATTTAACAATTTAGAATTTAAATATCTTCAATTTTTATTACCTGTCCTCTTAATGTAATACATAATATCTGGTCAATAGTCTAATCTATTTGATTTATTCATTGGGTTTCTATCTTATATAATTTCCTCTTTAAGTTGTTTATATGCAACCTGTGTTATGCTACTATTTACTAATAGCTTCTTTATCTATTTTCTAATTAGGAACATGACTTTGTTGTTTGTTGTTTGTTGTTGTTGTTTAGGCAGTCATATGTTTTTCTTTTGTTTTTCAGAGTCAATCATAATTTTCTATACTTTTGAATTTTATACTAAAAAAAAAAAAATTTTCTCCAAAACAAACTTAGTTTGTTAGAGATATCTTTTTTATTATTATATATATATATATTTTTTTTGCTCTTAAGCAGCCACGCTAGTACTTTATTAAGATTCTTGCAACTATATACAATAACTACATAGAATTTTCCTAATAACTAAGTCCAGCATCACCTGGCCACCTTATTGGTACCTAAGTGTGACCTGCTACACTACCTCAATTAGAGGTAGACTGCTTATCTGACTACTTAAAGCTGTATCAGAAAGGATTTTCTGGGACAAGCATTAACTGTCTTCAATCCTTCTTTTAAATTCTTCCTTCTTCTCAAAAGGCTAAAAAAAGAGGGGTATTATAAAATTGAATACAAATATGAAAATGACTAAAAAAACCAAAAGTAAACAAACAAAACCCTAATTAAAACAAAACAACAAAACAAATATGTAATAGTAAGAAAAAGAAAAAACAAAAAGAGAGCCGAAGCTTCAGCCAGAGCAAATTGTAAAAATTATATAGTACTGCTACTTCTAGTCTTTATTCTAGAAATAGATCTATACTATATATAGATATCATTCAATGATAGAGATGTCAGTGTTTAATTTCTTCCCCACCAATTCTACAGCCAACCTTTTCACTTCGATTAGAGTTACTCCTAGTTCCAGAAAAGAGATGATTCTCCTATTTCCAAAATGGACAATTTCTGTTGATCTTTTATAGGAGGTACATTAAATTTCTACTTCTTGTAAAAACTTCCATCAAAAAACCAAGCAAGGAATATGGTAGTGGTGTTTGGTTAGCAGGTATCTTTAAATTTCTAGTGAATGTGTTGAAAACTTATTTATTGTTCTCCTATAAGGCCTACTATTTTAACTTCATTAACAGAAGCCAAAACTTCTACAAAAATTTGTTATACAAGAGTGCCTTCTGCCAGTTATCTTGTATATGCATGCTTTTAGTTTGCTTGCTAAATATATAAAGAAGTCCAGTATAGAAGAACCACTTTAATCTTTATAAAAACTGTTATTTGTATAATAGCCTTTTCTACTTTCTCCAATAAGTTTTTCATTTTTGTTGGTATGAAATTCGGTACAAGTGATCGTCAAGAAGAGTTGATTAATAAATTGAAGACAGAACCTTTTATAATTCTTCTTAATTTATTTTCTTATATAAAAGTTCTTTTGTATTTAAATTATTTTTTAATTTTTTTTTTTTTTTTATTAAGGTAAGGTTTTACCTTTATCTTTATTATAATTTATATTAAAAATTCACAAGGGAAATCTTTGACCAAAGGTCAAGTTTACAAATTGTTTATAAGAATGAGATTCAGACTATAGATGTACTAAGACTACCTAGTTTTATCTAATTTATCTGCAACCTAAACCTATTAAAGTAGTTAAATCTCACCTAGGTTTTGTTAGTTAAAGTATTGCTAATTTGATAGTTAATTATATTGTTAGTTGGAGTACTATATTTGATCTATTCAGATATCCAAATAGATGTTTTCTTTTTTGCCATTCTTGTCGATAAGCAAATATTGTGTTTATCTCCTATATATTGTTGGTCTGCTAAACTGCAAATGCAGTTGTAAGTATATAGTGATCTTGGATAATGTGTGCTTCTTGTATTATTTGTATTATTATGTGTATTTATTTGTGTGTGTGAAGATCGAGTTGATATATAGTGTTAAAATTATTCTTTAATAAAATATTATTTTATCTATTATCATTAATAATACTATCCTTTATTTTATTCTTTTATCTTATTGTTTCTATAAATTATCTTTCTTTATTTAATTTTCTTTCTTTTTTTTATAATAATATAAAGTAAATAGCTGGTTTTTTTAATTAGTTATTTTGGCAAATACTAATTTTATATTATTGTATATTTTATTTTTCTTTCTTATAATAATATAAAGTAATAGTTGTATTTGTAAATAGTACTTTGACAGGTATTAGCTTTATGTTATTAGAATTTAAAAAATTATATATAACTTAGAACAGCCTAATTATCTGTTGCTAATCATCTCTTCTAATGTCTTAAGATACTTCTAAGTCTAGTACAGGTAATCCTTGTAAAGAGTAAACTATTTGTTAAGTCTAACTAATATAAAAAGAACAATAGATCAAATCTTCCCTACAACTGGCCTATTATAAAAATCCTTATAGTATCTAGAAGGCTATTGAATTTAAATTCCACTTTTAAATATTTATTTCTTATTCTTGGTTATTTTTATTTATTTTATTTTTCTTTAAATAAAAGATCTTCTACTTGGCACTCATGCTATTAAAAATTACTACAGCTTGCTAGTTTTTAGTAAATTTTATTACAGTATATATTTCTAATAATTTGAACAATCTAAAACTATTTAAATTCATATTATCAAAAGCTTAAAGAAATAATTCTTTCAAATGTTGATATTTGTTTAATATTTTCTCAAGTACATCAATTTCATTATTTAAAAACTATGTAGCAAAGACTTTTAAGTTTGATCAAAATTAGGTGACCATTTTATTGAAGAATATTGATTGATAATGCAAGCTCTTTCTAAGCATCATCATATGACATTTTGTTTAACAAAATCTTAAGTACTTTGAGATTTGACTAGTTCATTGATTCTATATTCTAATTGTTTGAAATTTTGTTATACATTAATCAAACCTAATAAACCAATATTATCTTTATCAAAAGTTGATAATAATGATCTAAATATTTTTTTACAATTCTGTACCAAAGTATAGAAGAATAAATCTGATATGGCTCTGAAATGTCTTTAAGTATTTTCAATTTAGCCTGCTATGCAAGTTCAGTAAACCTTTTCTTAAATATTTATTAAGATTTCTATTCTTGGTATACTGAGCCACTATTATATATCTATTAGTTGTTTTTTTTTTCCCTGCACAGTACTTATTTACATCCCAGTACCAGAAAATTCATGTAACTTATGGGTCTTCAACTTCTAATATTCTTATGATCCCTCTTGTTTTTTCTTTCTTGCTTTGCGCAGTACTTATTTATGTCCCAGTACCAGAGTATTTTACGCAGCTTGTGGGTATTAGAAAAGGAATGATAGCTGAATAACTTAACATGACAGCAACACTTACCAACTCACCTTTTCATCTGTACTACATGGGTGTTTCTTTTTTTTATTACAATCATCTCAGGCTCTAAGAAGAACTAACCTAACAGTAAGCTCTTCATAGCAATCAGCCTTTACTACACCTTTTCTAGGCACAGTAAAGGTTCGGTAGGCATCGATGTAACAGCATATTCATAATTCTTCGAGGCATTGCTACTAAAGAAGATGCAATACCAAATTGTGGCACTATTTCGATATATAAATGGGGTCAAATATAGCTAAAGTTTCAATAATACTAATTTTGTTTAAAGATTTTTTTTTTCCAATGAATAAAAGACTTCCCACCAATAAGCTTGTCTATGGCCAATTCTATAACATGTTCTGGTTTAAACCCTTCAGCTTTACTAGAAGGTAATAGAAGTGCACCCCATAAAGGTCTTCCATACCGAAAGAAATGTTGCAGAATTTCAGACTTTTCCAGTGTCAGAACTTGTTTAAAATCTGTATTCATGTCCACTGTGTCCATCAAATAAAAGTCTCAAATAATTTAGACCCTTCTTCTGCAACTCTTTTGGACGGATCGAGGTAGTGAACAGACAAAAAGTCCGAAATATATGAATGTATGTCTGTAAAGATTGCAGAATTCCTATATCTTTGGGTAGAAGCTTTAAAGCACGTCATACACAGTAAAACAAGGTTTTATCATCAACTTTTCTTAAAAATTCTTTTGTGAACCAGGTAAAGTTTTAAGTGCAACTATGCATAATGGTGTACATGTTTGTGTGTACTGCTGTCTATATTTATCTGAAACCATTCTTTTACCATCCAACCACGTTGCAGAAATACAGAATCAAATTCTCCTTTACTAATAATTTTGAACATCATTTAATCTATTAAAGGGAATTCACTTGATTACATCTTCATAAGGTGTAACTTTAAGTTACAATTCTTTAATACAATCATCGACATCATTATTTCAATTTGTCCATTCTTGTGTTGTTCTATGAGGGTCACATGTCTGATACCAGGCTGGTGACGTGTTATTTCAGTTGCAATTTGCATATTTTCCATAATATCCATGTCTTTTAGAACCAAATTCATCAAATACTTTGTGATTTAGTTGATATTTTAAGCTCCATCTTATATGATAGTATATGTGACTGTCTTCTAACTTTAGTTGCATATAATACACCATCTAACCAGGCTGCTAAAACTTTATCGCCAATATTTTGAATATCATTTAATCTATTAAAAGGAATTCATTTGATTACTTCTCTATATTCTGTAGTTTTAAGTTGAAATTCTTTAATGCAATCGTCAACATCCTTATTTCTACTTGTCTATCCTTGTGTTGTTTTCTGAGGGTCACATGTTTGACACCAAGCAAGAGATGTGTTATATCGCTTGCAATTTGTACATTTGCCATGTTTATCAAAATCAGTAACTACTAACATATAATCATTTGTGATAGTGTTTTGAGTTAATCCACAAACATGTTTATGCTTTAATTGACACCCAGACTGCACAAATGAATTTGACTCTTAAAAGGTTAATATACTTAAAAGTCCGAAGTCTTGATTCGTAAAAGCTGTAGACAGTGAATGCATTTAAATAATAAGACCCATTTTTTGTTAATAATTGAAAGCCAAAATTTTTTATGAATTTAAGTATATTCGATTAGACAATATTGCAATTAGACAGTATTGACAATATTAGTATAAATAGGTTTTAAGATAATTATTTATTGATAAATTTACTGTCCTTTATTAACGTTAATATTCTAAGGATACTTTTGCAAACTGTTTATAAAATTTATAGTTTTAACAACAAAACATCAAATATATACACATAGACAAATAAAAATCGATTCAATATATACAGCCATCTTTTCCGCCTATAAAAAAAAACAACTCTTTTTTTATTAGTCTGGAAAAACAAGACTTGCTAATAATCATAGCATTCTTCAGAGTCAGTCAATTGTTTACCAATATCCAAATGTTCGGATATAGAATCATCATATGAACATTTAGCCCAAACAATTGCCAAGAACAAAAAAGTCCATTGGCATATTAAATTTGCAGCTCGAACCTCACAAGCCTGTTTAACTTCCAATGAAGCGTATTCATAATTCGGTGGACAAAAAAATGGAATATCACCCATTTCATTCCATGTAAAATGAGCGTAAATTACTTTAATTTAAAAATATAGGAAATGGATTGAGAAAATATAGTTATTATTGAATGTAAGAATGCTTAGAACTATACTTACGTGAATATACTATCCAGAGTACAAGTAACCACCTGTGCATTTGTTAAAATTGGACCATCGAATGAATATAATTAATATTAATTAATTAATTAAATGAATGGATAAGTATTTGAATAAGTAAATTAATAAGTGAATGAATGAAAATAAACCTACATTAAAATTTGTTGTAAATATTCGTGTGCAAAAACACACCAATTACAACAACATTTACGTATTATGAGGATGAGCAATAATACTAAAGAAAATAAACACTAAATTGATAAACATAAATTATCATGTTTACTTGAAATATTTGTGTACTATACCAGGACCAAAAAATGCGATAACCAAATAACTAGAAGAAATTTTGTCAATAAAAGCGATAAGAATTAATTGAAAATAGAATATTACAAACATCTTACATGATTTCGAGCGGAAGGTTAAGTTGAAGGTCCCCATTAGTTCGCAAGAAAAATAAGAATTTAAGTATTCCTGTGTTGAAATAAAATAATGTAAATAAAGTTTTTAAAGAGACATGCGCCTAATCGATTATACAAATTTACGTGTATGTTGATGTTTAAAGGAAAAGGAATCAAATAAATACCCAATGCCGGGCATCCAAAACACAATAAAATGAGCGGTATTACTAATATTAGACCGAGGAGAAGTTTAAGAAAGTTCTTACAATACATAATGATATACTAAATGATATACTGTAGCCATTGAATATTAAAAAAAAATGCAAACTTTACAAAATTATGATATTAAAAAGATCATGTGTCGTGAATTTGATACTCTAAGTACCTAAAAATTATTAGGTTGAGTTATTGTGCAAGTTCGCAAGAACAAGTCGAGCCAAATAATATATATTCTGAGGCGTAGATTTTGTCTCAATTCGGGATTTTAACACTGGATTTATTATGAAGCTAAGCCTCGAAGAAGGCTTATATAATTACAAAACATCACGATCACGAATTACTGTAAGAGTAATAAATAATAGGCGGTTTAGGTTGAAATAGGTTTGCAAATCTCGATTTTAACAGGAATTTGCAAAATTAGATCTGCGATCACGTAAATAGCAGGCAGCTAACGAAAATTTTTCTCACGTATATATTTAACCTTATAGTAATGGCATAATAATTTTGTAATTGAACAAGAAACTTAGCCATCACATTTTTTGCACGCCTGAAGCCTGTGACAGAAAAGTTAAGTCCGGTTCGGTTCGACTCGACTCCAAATAAAAATGTGTATTCATGCTTATTTTGCGTATACATTTCTTTTTAGTGCTATATTTAAATACTAGCAGCTGCGAGACGTGATCGCGCTGAAACCACATTAGTAGTTGGTGCAATAATTATGACCAGACAGATTATTAAGTAGAATTGAAACCAGTTATATTTTTTTGCATGTTAAAACCGGTTTAATTTATTAAAAATAAAACCAGTTCCAAACTCTAAGTGTAATAAACATTATATCATGAGTACCCTTATGTCAAGCGAAAGTCGGACCCTTCCGATCCAAATACTTAGGTTGGAGTATCTCAAGTATTTTAGATATGAAAGGGTAAGTGATGTATGTAAATTTTAATGCTGAACATTTTTAATTAGAAGTCGGAAGTTGGTTAGCATAATAAAATTTGGCTCTATTTAAGAATTTTACTTTTTTTTCGCTGTTTGGTTTTGTTACACAATATCCTGAGATTTTATTGGTTCTGGACCAGAATTTTAAGGTCGGAGGTCATTATGTATTGAGTGTGCTTACTATGGCTAATGTTTGGTTGGCACTTTATTTATTACAAAATGAGAGTTTTTTGACATAAATTTTTACATTGTTCGAGGTTAACTAATTGGGAATGGACTAAAAAACACTATTTGAGAGCGAGTTTCAAACGGTGGGTTTTCCGGTCCATTCCCCAGATATATAAGCTTGATTTACCTAAATTTTCTTGATCGGGTAGGTTAGAAAATTTTGTTGAAACTAAATAGCTGTATAGCATGATAAAATCAGTATTACTTGACATTTTCACAGAAAAAAAGTTACAAGAAAGTAAAGAAAAAATCTAATTTATTTGCTTCGAAACAGAAATTAAATGATTAATAATTATTTATTGATCTTTTCAAGAGAGTTTGTTAAATTTGATTAGTAAATGATTCAAATAAATTTATATACCTTAAAACAACTTATTATTATTTACAAGTTTGTTAAATTTGACTTATTTAAAAAGATTTAGATAGTTTGCGAGTTTATATATTACTGTATTTTTTATGCGATATACGATGTAGAACCTATTAAGAATAGTTATACACATTTCCCGTAAAGTCGTTATGTATCGATAGATTCATGAGAAAAAATTAAGCAGATATTATTTCTAAATTCAAAAAGTGGCCTATGTCTCGAAAAATTACTGAATGAAAAATGAGCTCATGGCAATCGACACAAGGAGTGCAGAATAGACAACATGTGGCAGATAAGGTCATGCTGACCAATCGGATATAGATTTTGCGGAAGTACATCATTTATTCCGTCGGTAAGCCATACCGATACACTTTGTGATTTCATTACTCCGTTCCTGGTATACATGTTGCACATGAAAATGTGAGTCGAGTTTCAAGTCTGACTTAGAACCAAACTTTAATAAAGACTCGACTCTTTGGAGTCAAGTCGAACCGAACCGAACTTAACATCCCTAGTGACAGGTTATGCTGATCGCCTAATCGAAAGAGTATAAAGATAAGAATTTAACGCAGACTTTAATTTACTTGACGTTCGATATTTAAACATATTCATATAACTAAAATTTTATGCTGAAAATTTTTATTTAGAAGACAAATTGTGGTTATCAGTAAAATCATGTGTTGTTTATGAATTTTTAATTTTTTAAGTTACACATGATCTTGCGAATCTATTGGCTATAATCAGACGTGCCATTTTTTACGGGGTCACCAAATTTCCGGTGCAAAGCGATTTTGATGCAATTTATAATAAAAAATCAAAATTGTAATTTCGATTAAATTTGCAGCTGTGATCGTCAAAATTCTGGCCCCATATTATACATAATTTTGGCCGGAATTAATTTTTTTAAAAAATTTCGCTACTATTTCGCCAGCCAATCAGAATTAAAAATCCGGTGTAACACGAAAAAAACGCAAAAAAATCAAAACAAACCAAAAATCGTTCCTAACTCAACATTTTAACTATGAAACTGCTTTCTGCGCATTAGCAAAAAGTTTTCCTTGCAAAATTTTGGTAGTAGGAAGCTTCTTTTTGACCTAACTTAATAGCAAACCCAAACCCTAATTTAACAGCGAATTTTTTTTAGCGAAAATTTTTAAGTAACCCAGGAACATTTTTCACTTAATGGGTTCAATGAAATTAGAGAAGTTAAAAATTAGAAAAACTTAATAGTTCTTAACATGAGTATTACAAGCCATTTTTTTTTAGAGTTGGATATCACATTAATAGCATATGGATTAATTTAAATTATATCATTTATTAATAATAACTACGTGAAGATACTCTCCAGTTATATTACATGACTAGCCATATTTTAGAAATTCGAAATTTATGTTCATTGTAGATTTCACTGAGGTCTTAAAATAGGTAGAGTTCCAAAGACTTTTCGAATTCATCGATATTTATAGAACATAAATCCTATTTAATTACGATGATAATAACATTATGAAAAGCAACCAGTTATTTGTGGAGAGTACAAGCACATCAAGCTTTTGAGCTTAGGCATTTAAAAGAAAATGGAAATAGAAAAAAATAATACCAACACAAATTTGTAGATAAGAAATATATGAGAAAGTCCAAAGAAATAGATATAAAAAAATGGTCTCATAAGATCGATAAAAATATACAAATTACTTAAATGTGACGTAATATATACAATATTTATATATCTCCTAATGATATTATTTATTTAAATTGTATCAACTGTGAACTTTTGCATTACTTTGGCAAAGTCAACTTTGAGGAAGCAGCATCATCCAAGAACCAATATAATTTACCATTTTCAGGCTTAACCAATTGAGCAGGAAGATTACTATCAGGAACCTCAAATATTTGATACAAAATATCCTGTTTTCCGGAACCTGTAGCAACAAATGCTACGTTACGCGCATGGTTAATTACTGGTAAGGTTAATGTGACCCTTCTAGGTGGAGGTTTAGGTGAATCTCCAATATATGCAACCCACAAGATGTTCTCATCAAGAAGCGGATGTCCTGGAAATAATGAACAGGTATGTCCATCGGGTCCTATTCCTAAAAGTAATAAATCAAATACTGGAAACTTGATGGACTTTGCACAAGCAAAAAAATCGATTAATTGCTGTTCATAGTTTTCAGTAACAGCATCAATCGTTTCTTCATCTCCTTCTTTCACTTCATTTTCTGATGCAAGCTCAGGTTTAATAGTGTGAATTTTTTCAGGCAGGATCGGAACGTGATCAAACAATTCTTTTTTGCAAACCAAGTAATTGGAATCTTCATGGTCTAATGGAACAATCCTTGATAATTAAATGAATATCAAAATTCAATTTACTTTTTTTTGAAATTTAATAAAAATCATTTATAATTAATAATTTCTTACCTTTCGTCACAGAAAAACACTTCCCATTTATCCCATTCAACACCTTTTCTATTCTTTAAATCTGCGCCAAGCAATTTGGGTAGCGACCCACCGGAAAGACCTATCGTGAACCTATCACGCGATTTGATAGATTCCTTGGACAATTCAACAACAAGATCCGCAAGTGATACTGAAAGTTCATTAGATATTGCAAACGATTTGACAGTTGGGTGTGCCATCCTACTAAAAAGTTTTAAACCCATTTATTAAATTATTTGTGTGAAGTATTAGAAATATATATATATATAGCTCGTTTGAAATTTTATCGATTTTATAACTCATATTATACATGAAAATATTCACTTTTATTAAAAAATTTCTATTATTAAATTAAACCGAAAAAAAAGGCATTTAATGTCTGCCTTTTCTATTTAACAACCTTTATAATATAATTTCCGTTTTATTTAACAATGTTTATTAAAACTGAGGTTTCTTGCAACTTACCTAAACAAACGTTATTTTTGCAGATGATTGAAAGGCAGTGATCATGTAAGTCTATTATAATCATCATAATCATGGCTGCACAATTTATCCCGGTTTGGTATTATTAGTTATTATTAGTCAACACAACCGGAGTAATCTATGCTTCAAAGTATTCGACGATTTAGATAACGATAATTTGTAATAATTTAGTATGTTATTCCCCTTGATAAATAATATTCTTTACTATGTTCGGCAACGATGTTTGCAAATTTTAAAATAAAAGTACACGATCCTTTACCTGCAAGGTCCCAGGGTACAAACTATATTAACTATGTTACTCAATTAACATTTACATATATAATCAGCGGGAAAAAAAAACGGATCTTCGTTACCACATACGTACATATCTTGAATGTCAAAATTTATCCATTACGTACAAAGGATCTATGGTGACTTAACTATGGAAAAAATCCAAGATAATGATAAATCTCGCCGTTTAATTATAATATCATTTTGGGTAGTAATATTAATTGGACTTCCTTTGTGGTGGAAGACTACTGAGGTGTATCGAGCCCAACTTCCGTTTGCAGAAATTGAGGAATGGTCTAAATGGGAGGTAAGTCAGCTTTTTTATTGAAAATTCGTCCACATAAATCGTACTTTTTTTTTTAATCTCACTAATTTGTTTATCATTTAACATTTATAGGCTTTCGATCTAAATTTTCCTATCAATTTTATTATACATATTGCAGATGCGAAATCCGATGTGAATGATTATAAAACATTTTCTAACAGGATTGAAAATTCAATTATATCGAAATATAATTCGATTTACTCAATTAATAATGATACTGGTTATCCAAAATCTATTCATTTTCCAGTTAAGATTGAAGTTGTTAAATGGAGTACTTGGATGAATACTCTTCAAGAAGGTAACTTTATATTTTATTTTAAATCTGAAATATGGTTTAAATAATTTTTAAAATCTTCAATTTAGGTTACGATTCTGATTTATTAAAAGTTTCGGTAAATAAAAATGGACAATATGGCTTTTATATTTTACCGAGAAATAATAGTTCAAAAACTAGAATATTGGTTGGAAATCAAAGGCAAGCAATTGTCGAAATGGATCATTGGAATATTGGCAAGCATTTTATTTTACTTAATATGTCTAGAATAATTTCTGATACATTAAATAAAATTTTGTTTGGTTAATATAGATGCAATTGAGAATATTATCTCCAATCTTATCTTGAGTTTATTTTTACCTGAACAAACAGCTATAAAGAAGTTCATAAGAGAGCCATCTGCTGAAGCAAAAGTTAGTTATAGATACAATATTCCTTTTATAAATTATTTCACAGTTAGGTTTAACTTTGCTGATGATCTTTACAGGTGGATGTTGATAGTATGAGAACAATGAAATATTCACCAATGTATCAAGTAACCTTTAGTCTCATGAATGAAAATCCTTCAACTCTACTCGTAGATTGGGATATTAAACAAGCAGTTATCAAATATTTAAAGCCATTTGTCGACAAGATATCAATTATTTCCAATTTGACTGTAGATTCGCAAATCCAGCATTATGCACGATTAACTTTTGAGCCACAAAAAAATTTACATAATGATGAAAACTACTTTTATCTTACACCAGATTTATTACCTCATTTTATCAATGCAGCAGAATGGAATCTTGGTATTTAAATTTCTTAACGTTTCATCTGTGTATTGGATGCGCCACCAATTCTATTAATATTAAAATGTCTATTCTGAAGCCTCGGCTGTATCGTCTTATCCAACACTTAATTTTATTTTGTATGTTCCTTCCAAGGATCAGAGTCCATTATACATTAAAGATTCAAAAGGTAGTTTTAGAAAAATGGCCATTGATTGTTGATCTACATGAAAATTTAATTATTATTTACATTCTTTTAGGAAATATTATGGAAAATAATGCATTTCTAATACCAAGATGGGGTGGTGTAATAATTAATAATCCAGATCGATCAGTAGGAACTTATATGTTTACCTTTGATGAATTAAAGTCAGTTATGTCCATATTTATCATGCAACTGAGAGGTTTATTGGGCGTTCAAGATTTTTGGATGGAGGCTAGATCTGGTTTGGTAATATTAAAATGACATTCTTTAAACCTTCATAATGGATATATTGTAATCGCTTATATTATTCAATATGATTTAGGATTCATCAATAAATGTTGAATTTATGTCGCCACCGAGTACTGCTATTACAATGTGGGAGCTTGATAGCCTCGTACGAAGACGCATTGCCGAAAATATTGTTTCAACAATTTCAACCTTGAAATCTTTATCTCAATTGGTTGCAGAAATTCCAAATATGGTGGTACTTGATCATATACAAACTGAGGTATGTTGTGTCAAATAACTCTATTAATTTTTTATATATTATGGTTAATTATAAATTCTCAATTATTCCAGGTGTTGTTAGCATTGGATAGCTTGAAAAAAGTAGGTTTTTTTTTTACATATTATTTGTTAGATAGTTGTTGCTAACTTTAAATTCCTTTTAATATTTTTAGTCTTGTGCAAGCTTGCATGCAGGACAGTATGAAACAGCTTTGCAACATGCAAAAAAAGCGATTGAAAGGGCAGAATCAGCATTTTTTGATCCTACAATGGTATCAATGCTTTATTTTCCAGATGAACATAAATATGCTATTTACATGCCTTTATTTGTACCTATTTCAGTTCCGTTACTTATAGCACTTATAAAAGAAATAAAAGAGTTTAAAGAATCGAGAATAAAAAATAAAAAGAAAGAATAGATTAGCAAATTATATATGTATATAGTTAATATTAATCCGTTAATAAAGATGTACTTCTTAGATGTATAGTATTTCAATTCTATTAAATGAATTAATTTTATCATAATTCCAGATAAGTTACCAAAATAAGACCATTATCCAAATTCTGACGTCAACTCCAGACCTACTGCTTGGAGAATGACAACCTGACCACTCACTACACTAGAATCGTCATCCTCGTTTTCATTATTTTTAAAAAGTACTCTAAAATGTATAAATAATGTAAAATTAAATTGAATTTATTAGCCAATCAGGCAAACTTCTGCCCATGAAGCCGAAACGAATTCTATACTAAATAATTACATGGTTTGAGTAGTTTGGTTTACATCTATAGTTATGATACAACAAATACTTGTCTATTACTATATACAAGATTGTATATTTTTTTATAAAAAAGTTACTCTTCAATAAATTTATTATTTAGAGTTTTTCAATAATAATATTATTATTAAGTAGACATAACTATCTTTTTTTGAAATTGCGAGCATTAAAATCATTCTTTTTTTAGTAATAAAATTATTATTATATAGAAACTTGATAAACCAATCAAATTTAATAACTTGAGATCTGCAAGCTGCATATAATTGACCAATAAAATCAATAAAATACAGAATATTTTGATATTATGTCATACTATTTTTATTTTTTATTTTTTTTTCTAATTTACTTTGTTATTTTTGTTTTGTTTTCATGTTCTTTATTTTTTTTATATTTTTTCTTTTTAGATCAGAAGATACTTTTTTATTTTTTTCTTTAAAGATTTTTTTTTACTGCAAAAAATTTTTAATCTTCTTGTTTATGTTTATAAATTTAATTAGAATTTTTCAGAAGCAATTGCCTAGACTTTTCTATAGCAATTTTTTTGTTTTTTCTAAGTTTTCTAATCTTTTTCAAATTTAAACTAAGATGTCTTTTATATATATACTTTTTTTCTGCATCTAAGTTTTGAATTTAGTTATTTTTTTTAAATTTTTTTTCTTTAATTATATTTATATACCTTGTTGCTTTTTTAAATCTTGATTTTTGGTATAACTTCTTTTTTTGTTATTTGATTTATAGTTTTTAGATTTTTTTTTTATTTTTGTTTATATGTATTTATTTTTTTTTATTTCTGCTTTTATTATTTTCTGTATTAGAGATTTGACTAAGTCTGTTTTAACTTTTTTTTTTCTTTTTTAAAGATTTTTTTTTTGGTTCTCTTTTTTTTTTATTTATTTAATATATTTAAAAATTATTAAATATTTTTTTTTCAATATTAAGATGATCTTTTTGGTCCTAGCTTTTTATTAATACTTAAATTGGATATATAAATGTATTTATAATGAACTATCAGACGAGTGTACAACTGGCTATACATATAACTTTTTTATATTATTAATTAAGAAGTTTGCTCGAAGGTTCTCTACCAGTTGTCATATCTAACACTCTTGCTTAGATGTTCTATTTAAACTCTCTGATCTAATCTTGATATTAATTTCACTAGATTACAGACTCAGATCTATTCATTTTTAACCATAGAACTATAATCTTTAGACTATTTTTATTCTCGAGATAAACCTACCAGAATAAGCTGTATTCTTTTTTACTACTAACCTGGTTTTGATACTATGGCCAAGGTTGACACTTGCAGCAGGGTTACCTCTTAAACCACTATTACCTTTGTAAAATTTACCCAAACCCTGGTACCTATCTTTCCGACTTCTTCATCATCATCCTCTACTAGCCACAACTCAGAACCAATAATGAACTTTCTCAGACTTCCAATTTAGATAGCTTGGTATAATATACTTATGTATCTTTTTCCTCTAGTGATTTCAGCAGTCTGGTTGGTTATGTGCTCCTCTATACATTTTGTCATCCAGTTTTATTTGACAGTTCTATAAAGGTGTTTTATGGGTTTCTATTAGTTTAATGACATCATCAAAAGTTTGAGCTACCTTTTTACTTAGGATTTTCAAGTAGATTTCTGTTTCTTTAGTTTCTTAGTCTTTTATGCCTAGTAGTCTTATCATAGGTTTGCACTAAAGCCTTATCTGACACTGGCTTTTCACATTTCTCCATGTATATATAATGTTATAGTTTGCATAGATGCCCTGAGCTTCTAATATCAGATGAGGCCTGACTTGGTGTACCTAAGATTACAGATGCCCAAAATTCAACCAATTGGCAAGAGACAGTTATTATAATATAGATATAATTTTCAAAATTCATCATTTATAAGAATTGAACCTTAGACTTGCCACTTGAGAGTTGACAAACTATCCACTTCACTAGGTCACCACACCTCTAAAATTGTTAAATATAAATGGTTTTGATTAAGCTATCTTTATATCTTTTTCTATTGCAAATATAATTATTACAGTTTTTTTTTGGCTTTTATTTTTATTTAATAAAATATAAACTGATTTTGTTTTTTTACTTTTTAAACTTTATAAAAATAGAACTTCTAAAGTATTATTATTTTTTTTTTTTTTAAAAAAGAGGTCTATCCTCTATCTCTTTTATTAATTAGTTAATTATACATATATGTAAGATACATGATGAAAAAAACTATACTAGGGGAGATGGAG